GAATCTTCAAATAAGATTAGTCTGCAGAAGTGAATGAACCATTTTCAATCATTTTGACAACAGGCAGCATTTGCCGTTATGTGTGCACGTGGCGAGATACTGCTGTCTCTGATACCTCCTGTGAATGACAGCGCCAGCCTATTAGAAGAATTCTCACCTCTGCCTTCCCATAGGAGCCATGGTCTGTAGTACACAGGCTCCTGTTGGCTTGTTCCCTTGCAGTTTTGTTCATGAAGAGGCTGGGAACAATAGTGGGTCTCCTGGCGTGTCTGACTCAGGGCCGGGCAACAGTAGGCTTCCAAAGAAGGCAAGAGAGAAAGAAAGGCAGAAAGGGCTGTGTCTGCCTTATCTCCAAATTACATTGTCAGCTTCCCAGCCCAGGGGCCATATCTTTTTGCTTACCTCTGTGATACATATTAGAATGTTCAGCAGTGAGTATACATGTGGTGAATGCTTATTGCTTGAAGGACTAAGGTTTTATTTAATTTATAGGTTGTGCCAAAAAGATACATTTCCATTCACTTGAGCTTAATGCAGCCCAAAGGAAATAGCATTTTCTATAAATTTTATTGACATTGAATTGAAGGTATCTCTAAATTAGCTTTAGCTTGGTCCCCCATAGAGCCATAGTCCTCATTATATAAGGCAAACCTCTAAATTGGTGATAAGGTGAACAAAGTTATGACAACAGAGTGTATGTAGTTCTAACTTGTAGATGGTGCTCTGAAGAAAGTACTAATAAGAAAATCCTGTAATGACTATAATATTGCAGTGAATAGAAATTGGTTCTGATAACAGTTAAGATCATTTGACACACTGACTAGGATTGGGAATTGTATATTGTTGTGCCATTGTATCTCTGTCAGAAAATCAGTTGCCTATATGTATGTGGGTCTATTTCTGATTCCTCTCTATACTGTCTAGTTGAGCTCTATCTTCCCACCAATGCCAAATACTTACCTGGCAGGGGAGATACCACGATCACAAAGTGTACTCTTAACAGTAGTTTGTGTGTGCCCCTCTGAAATAAATGCAAATATATTTTTAAATCATACATGTAAATCAATGTAGTTTTTTTTCCACTTCTGCTATCTGCCTTTATCTTTTTGCTTTTTCTTTTAAGTCTTATTTCAAAGACTAAGACCTCCAGGCATCTTTGCCTTGATCTTGGGGGAAAACAATTCAGTATTGCACTATTAAGTATGATGTTAGTGGTTAAACTTTTTGCACATACCCTTGGTCAGATTTAGAAGGTTCATAATTCTTTTTTTGCTAACTGTCGCTCCCCGTCTTCGTGGAGGAACGACACAGGACCCTGCGCTGTTCTTTCGTCTGCTCGGCCCTCCCCGGGTTTGCTGCTGGTTCTTCCCGGGTTGGCTACCAACCCTTCCACCTCCGTGGAAGGGCGGTTCCCCCTAGCCACTTTCCCCACTTCTGCGGGGGAGCGGCACACCACTGGCCAGCTCTCTCGGGGGCTGCACAGGTGTTCCTTCAGATAGATGTTCCCCTTAGATGTTCCTGGTGCATGTTGTCTCTCTCCTCCTTTATAGTCCTCTTCCACCAATCCCAACTCTGCTACCCACACGCCGAGTATGCTGCTCTCCTCCAATCAGGAGTAGGTCCTACAGTTTATTGGTTGAACTGGAGGCAGCTGTGTAGAAGCTGTTTCTCTCTTCTCAGCGCCATATTGTGGGAGAGCAGATGCATAGAATAAGTCTTAATTCCAGTAACTTAGTCTAGTCTGAGTTGCTCCCCACAGATCCCCCTTTCTTTTTATTTTTTGGCGTTGATACGTGCCTGTTTTCGGTGCCCCGCGGCACACACTCTGCTCTGCTTGCTAGAGTTGCCCACAGGTGCTTACAAGCCCTACCGGTCAGGTAAACTGAATCGGGGTCCTCTCTTCACCATGTTGTGAGGAGGTTTTTAGGCGCTGATGCATGCCTGTGTTCGGTGCCCTGCAGCGCATGCTCTGCTCTGCTAGAACTGCCTGCAGGTGCTTACAAGCCCTATCAATCAGGCAAACCGAATCCAAGCCCTCTCATTGCCGTCTTGTGGGGAGACTTATTGATGTTAATTCGTGCCTGTCTTCGGTGACCTGCGGCGCATAAGCTGCTAGCCGCCCACAGGTGCTCACCACCTCCCTAATCAGGCAGACCGAATCCAAGCTCTCTGCCATGTTGTGGGAGGCCTTATTTTGCTCTATTTCTCTATCTCTGGGCATTCCTATTTCTCCTATTTTACTTCTATCTGCCAGCATTCCTATTTCTCTCATTTTACTTCTAAGCTTCTGTTTCTCTTATCCCTGTGGCTTCCCGGCGCCCGCCCCGAGGCTGCTTCTCGGCGGCTTCCCGGCTCTGAGCCGCTTCAGCCCGTGCTTCTCTCATCTGCGCGGCTTCCCGGCTTCGCGCGCGCACTCCACGGTCTCCGCGCCCCTTCGCGCCCGCACCACGGCCTTGCACTAGCCCCACATTCCCTATCTATTCACGCCCCGTGCTCTCTGCACGCGGCGGCTTCCGCAAATCACACAGCCTAGCTCACGTTTCCACCACCGGTTGGTTTAGTTTTCAGTCTAAGTTCCCCGGGCTAACCTGACGAAATGCAACCTATAGCTTAAGTCTCCGCTCCTGGTTTGGCTTCCCGTCTTTTGCTCCCCGGGCTAATCTGATGGATTCCAACCTAGCTCACGCGTCTCCGCCTCTGGTTTTAGATTTTCGCCCCTTGTTCCCCGGGCTGACTTGACGAATCCCAAGGCTAGCTTTCGTCTCCGCTTTGGCCTGTCCCCGCGGCTTCATCCTCCCTAACATTTTTCTCTACCAGGTATGTTTCCCTAACTTTTCTTATCCCACAATATTCCCCTCTCATTTCTCCTGGCTTCTCCCCACAGTCCGTATCCAAGTCTGTTTGTTCTAGCTTTCACTTTCGCTTTCGACCTTAGAGATTTCTCCCAGCTTCCCCCCGTAGTCCGTATCTGAGTCTATGCCTAGGCTTTCAATAGCTTCTTCCGGCACCTTTTTCGTCCGGCTTTTCCCTAGGCTCTTTGCTAGTCTCTCTCTCCGGTATTTTCCCACTTCTTCCCGTTTCTTCCCTCCTAAGTTTCCTATCCGAGTCACGGCACCATTATGTCGCTCCCCCTCTTCATGGAGGAACGACACTAAGCCCTGCCTAGGCTTCCTATCCGAGTCACGGCACCATTATGTCGCTCCCCGTCTTCGTGGAGGAACGACACAGGACCCTGCGCTGTTCTTTCGTCTGCTCTGCCCTCCCCGGGTTTGCTGCTGGTTCTTCCCGAGTTGGCTACCAACCCTTCCACCTCCATGGAAGGGCGGTTCCCCCTAGCCACTTTCCCCACTTCCGCGGGGGAGCGGCACACCACTGGCCGGCTCTCTCGGGGGCTGCACAGGTGTTCCTTCAGATAGATGTTCCCCTTAGATGTTCCTGGTGCATGTTGTCTCTCTCCTCCTTTATAGTCCTCTTCCACCAATCCCAACTCTGCTACCCACACGCCGAGTACACTGCTCTCCTCCAATCAGGAGTAGGTCCTACAGTTTATTGGTTGAACTGGAGGCAGCTGTGTAGAAGCTGTTTCTCCCTTCTCAGCGCTATATTGTGGGAGAGAAGATGCATAGAATAAGTCTTAATTCCAGTAACTTAGTCTAGTCCGAGTTGCTCCCCACAGCTAACAGCATTATCATGAATGAGTGTTGTATTTTGTCCAGTGTTTTCTCTGTATCAACTGGAATGATGTGTTTTTACCTCCTATATTCTATCAACATGAGTACCATTGATTACTTTTCCAATGTAGATCAACCTTGCATTACTAGGATAAACCGAATTTTGTTGTTGATTTGTTGTTATTCATTTTATATATTGTTGGAATTGATTTGATTATATTTTGTTTAAGGATATTTGGCTCTGTCTTCATGTGGGCTATTTTTGTGTAATCATTTTTATAATTTTTTTGTCGAGCTTTGTGTTAAGAGTTCTGGCCCTATACAACAAGTTAGGCAATGATCTGATTTTTGAAAAAGTGTATATGATATTGATATTTCTTTCATGAATGTTTGATAGAACTTATTAATGAAACCATTTGATTGGAGTGTCCTTGGGGGCAGATTTGATGGCAAATTGATTTTCATTATTAACACAGAGATGCTTAGATTTCTCCTTTCTACTTATGTCAGTTTGGGTAAACTGCACTTTCAAAAAATGTATCTAAACTGTCAAATTTGTTGACCTGAATTTTTTCATAATGTCTTATTATTTGCCTTTCAATGTCGGTAGTCAGTAGTATGACTTCTTTTCATTCTTGATGTTGTTATTTTACATATTTGATACTGGGAATATGTTTAAATATTATTTGATATTCATTTTATGTAGACTTTTTTTGCTATATCTGTTTGTGTAATTTTTGAGTGGTTTTTTTGCATCGTGTAGGGGTTGCCTGTCTCAGATGCAGTAGAAAGTGTTACCTACCTCTCTGGGACTTCAGCAACTTCCCACCCTTCGGGAAGTTCTAAGGATTGTAGCTACATGTTGCTACTTAAATTCTTTTAACTAAAGGTTTATATGGTGAAAACTTGCGTTCCTTATTCAAGTAGCCACACTGCAAGGGTTCAGTCGTCACATGTAGCTAATGGCTGCTAGTGGACAGCACTGAGAGAGGATATTTTTCTGTCAGCACACAAAGTTCTGTTGGGCAGTGGTGCTCTAGGAAAGCCAGTCCAAGGAGAGGCACCATGATGTTTACTAAGCCTCTCCTCTGTGATCTCTTTAACCCAGACTCTGAAAAACTAGCATGTGGCCTATTCCTTTGGCAAATATTTTCCTGGATGATTTTTACCTATGGCAGTAAAGATGGGCAGGACTGGTAGCTCACGAGCGCTCTTCACCTCACTGTAAACCCACTGCAAATGCAAACATGCAAAGTGTGGAAGGCATGACAGGGAAGGCGGCTTTCTATGTGTTGTGATGGGAGTTTTCCATGTCTTCTGGTAACCTAGGGACCTCGCAGCGAGAAACTGCCTGGTCGGTGAAAATAACGTCCTGAAAATCAGTGACTTTGGAATGTCTCGTCAAGAGGACGGCGGAGTGTATTCATCTTCTGGCTTAAAGCAGATCCCCATTAAGTGGACGGCCCCAGAAGCTCTTAATTACGGTAAGAACGGACGCTTTTCCTTTAGGGGGAAACAGTGGACGACGTCAGCACAGAACATTCAGACACAATGTTACAGGAACACAGTTGAGGTGGGACTGTTCAGACCTTGCATCAGGCATGAGCATAAACTTGCTTCATTCAGATTATTCATCAGACGCCTATACACGGAAGATGGCTAGATTAAAAGACCAGTGTGCTATGAGCACCTTTAACTATGGCATCCTTTTTATCCAAAGATAGGAGTATTGTTAAGAGTCAGATAACATACAGAGTAAGGGTTGCTCTGGTCCTGGGCCATTTTTTTCGAATGTTGCTCCAGTAACCTCATCTGATGTTGGCTTCCTAAAACATTCAGTCAGTCAGTTCTATAGTTTCTCACTCTGACATCGACATAGTTTCTTAGCATGCCAGTTGCCAGAACAGGTATAAATCTTGAGGGAAAAAAGAAATGGGAATTATACTTTAAAGCAGTGGGACTTTTTTTTCACTTAAATTTTTATGTGTCATTGTAATTGGAAATAAATGCAGCTTGCATTGTCTGTGGTTGGGATGAAATGGGCCATAATAAAATAAGTAAAAGAATTTAAGAAGAGGGAAAAAAAAAGGATTGGAGTGGGAAGGCCAGAGTATACTTCAGTGAAATTAGAAAATAAATTTTCATTAAGAGAAGCAGTATATGGGCCATTGATGTATGGTTGGGTGCAGTTATATTTTGAATAAAAACATCATAAAATGATTCTCTGATTTAAAATGAAAAATGACTACTTCTTATAAATAACGTAACATTTATAAATGCCATAATTTATTACCAAATTAAAGGCAGATAGAGCTTTTTGTGAATTGAGTTATGATTCATGTAACAGAAAATTAACTATTTTAAAGGGAACAATTCATTGCCATTTAATATAATGCACAATATTGGGCAACCAGTGTCATTATCTAACTACAAATCATTTTCTTCACTCAAAACTAGAACTCTGTACTCATGAAGCATTTTCTGTTCATCTCCCCCATCCCCTAGCAACCTCCAGTCTGCATTTCTGTTTCTGTGAATTTACCTGATCCAGATATTTCATATAAATGGAATCACATAATATGTGGCCTTTTATGCCTGGCTTCTTTGGCTTCACATAATGTTTTTGAGGTTCATCCATTCTGTAGCATATGTCAGTACCTCATTCCTTTTCAAGACTGAATAATGCTCCATTGTATGGCTATACCACACTTTGTTTATTCATCTATTGATATATATTTGGGCAGTTTTCACCTTCAGGCTATTGTGAATAGTGCTACCGTAGCATATAAGGGTTTATCAGATACCTGTGTTTTCGATTATTCTGGGTCTGTACTCATACTAGGAGTTATATGATAATTTTTATATGTACCTTTTTGAGGAATTACGAACTGTTTGCCAGACAAAGCTGTAGAATGTAGCTGGTTTGGGATGTAATTGGATCGGTTGGGACTGAGCCAAGCACCTCAGATACTAATCCTTACCCTTAGTTTGTCTTCCCATGTGCCAGCAAGGTTTTTCTAGAGAGTGCAAACCAATTCCACTCTGCCTTCGAAACAAAAGAAGGAGCCAGTGCAGTGGCACAATGGGTTAAGCTGTTGCTTGCAACTCCGGCATCCCACATCAGAGTGCTTGTTCAAGTCCCAGCTGCTTTGCTTCTTATTCAGCCTCCTGCTAATGCAGCCTGGGATGGCAGTGGAAGATGGCCCAGGTGCTTGGGCCCCTTTTACACAGATGGGATACCGGGATGGAGTTCCTGACTCCTACCTTTGGCCTGGCCTAACCTCGTTGTTGTGATCACTTGTGGGAGTGAACCAGCAGATGGAAGTTAGCTATCTCTGTGCCTCTCCTCTCTCTGTCACTGTGCTTTTCAAATCAATAAATCCTTACCTCAAACACAATGAAAAAGAAATCCAGAGAAAATGACAGCCCCACTTGGCCCCGCTGTAACCTATGGTGAGTCTTCTCTGGGATGGTGGTGGTTGTTAAATAGCAGAGTAATCATAGAAGATAGGATTGTAACACTTGTGTTTACAAAAAAGCTTTCTTTAAATGACAAAATATTTTTAAGCAGCAAGGGAGCTGTAATTAGATTTAAGAATCCCTGAAAACTTACCAGTGAAATCTAGCTCTCTGGAATCAGTTCTCAACCCTGTGGGCCACTTCCTCTATGTTATATAGCCTTTAGAAGTCCTCTCACTGTGAAATAGTTATGCCAAGAAAAATTCTTTCCCTTGATCAGTGTGTGTTTTAAATTTCAAGTTGACCAAAGTAATTACAATTCAAAGTTCTAATTTCAGAACCCTCTAACAGCCAGAACAAAAGCATTTTAAGTAATAAGTATGAAGATCTTTTTTATTTTAATTAATTAATTTGAGAGACAGAAAAAGAGACAGCAAGCTCCCATCTGCTGGTTCACTGTCCAAATGCCTGCAGCAGCCTGGCCAAAGCCAGGAACACAATCCAAGTCTCCTACAAGGTGGCTGGAACCCAATCTCTTGATCCATGCCTGCTTCCTCGTAGAGTCTGCACTGGCAGGAAGCTGGAGGCTAGAGTTAGAGCTGAGTACTCCAGTTTGGAACTCAAGCATCGTAACCACTAAGCCAAGTGCCCACTCCAGTGTGAGGGTTTTCGGTTGGCAGCAAGGGGCATTTTCAGTATTAACTTTGCAAGGTGCAGAAGAAAAAAGCAGATGACAAGGAAGGAGTGTTTATTCTAAGAATGAGGAAGAAGTTTACAGTATTTATCACTCAGTCTATTGAAGGAGTTCCTGAAAGAGTCTCCAAGCCTCATGGCAACCCTGGGAAGCTGTTTTAGTTCTCAGAGGCTAAAATTACCTACGATTGGCTCCACATGCCAGCGCTTGTTTAAACAAGTGAAAACAAAGATCTTGTGGAAGTCTTTTTTCTTATTATACTTCTTTCATGCTTTAGTTAGATGTAATTTTGAGATTGGTGGTAATATTTTACCTGAGTTCCAAGGGTTCACTGATTCTTTTCTTCCCTCTTGCCCCAGAGGAGGTGAGATACATCGCCCAAGTTGCCCATGAGGTCAGTGAGAATGAAAACAAGAATCTCCCTGAACCTTTGGCATAGGGCTCTAGGGTTAATTTTATTAATTTTTTTGTCATTTCTATCTTTTGTTTTAATCAAGCAAGATTAAAGGCCATACAATGAAATAGAAGTCCCTCTTCCTACCTCTAGCCACATAATTCCTCTTCCTAGAAGTAATTCTTTTTATCATACTCTCATGTTCTCAGAGGTTTCTCAGCCATTAATTTGTATATATCTCCCCCCAAAACACACACACACACACACACACACACATACACACATATATACACATACACAAATAGCCTGTTTGTGTCCATTGCTAACTCATTAGTCACAGCTGTCACCTAAGGTTCTGTGTTTATACCGGGCAAACAGAATACCAATCTCCAGCTAAGAAGTAAAGTCCCCTGCTTACCAATTATGGAAAAGACGTGTTTCCATTGTCACGGGTTATTTTGTACCCTCCAGTGTAATTAGGGCGTTGCCTCTAAGGATGCTGTGAAATGCTAGGGAGGCAGGATTTTGCAGAGGAGAGCCCTGGATTACCCATCAGCACCAGGCTCCCCTACCAATTATGTCATGAGCTGCAGGATCTTGCCGTGCCCAGCTCTCTCTGTCTATATTTCCTAATTTATAAGATGAGAGTCACAGTACCGTCCCCCTATGAGGATCACATGAGAGATGGAGAAATGGCAAGACACAATACAGTTGTGTTACTGACAAGATTATGGAATTAAGCCATAAGCTTTCATTTTCAGAATGTAACTTTGGCTTATGCCGTTCTTGATCTGAGCCCAGGTATTATCTCAAAATACAAGACATTTGACTCTCTATAACTTAGGCTTTTTTAAGAATCATTTTTAACTTGTAGCTCTTGAATGACTCTCATGAAAAGTATTAAATTACTGGATGCCAAACATGAAGAGAGTTGATATGCAGACAAGAAAGCTAATCTTCTTTCCAAACAGCATAGTCAATGTCCATAATTACTGTCTACTAAGGAGGAAGCTAATTCACACAGCTGGAGCTGACAGCAAGTACACTCCCCACCCGGAGCAGGGACAATAGCACAGGCTTATCCCTTCTCACATTACTGACAAAAGGCCATACTACTTTAAAGGAGCCCAACATTTTGGTAGAGGGGTGTCGCTCCCCATCTTCATGGAGGAACGACACTAAACCCTGCCTAGGCTTCATATCCGAGTCACGGCACCATTATGTCGCTCCCCCTCTTCATGGAGGAACGACACATGAAGCGCTGTTCTTTCATCTGCTCGGCCCTCCCCGGGTTTGCTGCTGGTTCTTCCCAGGTTGGCTACCAACCCTTCCACCTCCGTGGAAGGGCGGTTCCCCCTGCCACATTCCCCACTTCCGCGGGGGAGCGGCACACCGCCGGCTGGCTCTCTCGGGGGCTGCACAGGTGTTCCCCTTAGATGTTCCTGGTGCATGCCGTCTCTCTCCTCCTTTATAGTCCTTCCACCAATCCCAACTCTGCTACCCACATGCCGAGTACGCTGCTCTCCTCCAATCAGGAGCAGGTCCCACAGTTTATTGGTTGAACTGGAGGCAGCTGTGTAGAAGCTGTTTCCCTTCTCAGCGCCATATTGTGGGAAAGCAGATGCATAGAATAAGTCTTAATTCCAGTAACTTAGTCTAGTCCGAGTTGCTCCCAGTTGCTCCCCACAGAGGGGCATTTGAAAATCCCAGCATGGCAGAGTTAAGGTAGACAAGAGGGACAGAAAATGAAGTCATTTAAGAAATCATTAACAGCATTGCAGATGAAGTCTGGTTATGGTGGTACATGGAAAGTTAAATAAAACTACAAGTATGGTGGGAAAGTCTTGGGAACTCAGCCCCTCGGAGCCTGGAAAGGACTTTTCGATTCCCCTCCTCGATCCCACACCTATGTCCAGAAGATAGCTTGTGTGGGGCTTTTAATCTCTGTGTGTGCCTCTCTAGAAAAATCCCAAGAGCCCAGCTCATGTAGCTCAGTAAAACAGGTGCACCACGATACTTTGACAAAATGAGGCACCATGTAATTTAAAGAAGCCGTTTTTATCAGCCAGCTATGTTAATTTCCACTCTATTCAAAACACAGAGAAAAATATGTTTTCCGTAAATGAAACTATGAGTGGGGAAAATGAGACCTTTAAGCATGTAAGAATATCTGTAAACAGTGATGAGTAAAAACTTGAAGTTAAGAAACTTTCCTTATTGCTTTAAGTTTGTTTGTAATTTTAGTGGATAGAAAATGATGCAGGCAGAAGACAAAATTGCAGGAATCCAACTATTTAATCTCTTAGGCATTGATGTGTACAAAATGTGAGTCTTCTTTATCAAAGCCATCCATCTCACTCAGATAGTACAGGGAAAGTAAGCCGGTGTGCTGGCTGGATTTTTGTTCATGGTAGGGAAGGGAGGGGAGCGATTTGGTAGCTGGTTTGATTAAACCAGCAGCCTGAAGACTGTTCATTTCATTGGTGATATAGTTCTTTAAAGATTTATTTATATATTTGAAAGTCGGAGCTACAGGGGGCGGGGCACGGAAGACAGAATCTTCCATCCATTGGTGCACTCCTCAAATGGCCGCAATAGCCAGGTTAAAGCCAGGAGCTTCATCCAGGTCTCCCTTGTGGACAGCAAATGCCCAAGCACTTGGACCATCTTCAGCTGCTTTCCCCGGGCCACTAACAAGGAGCTGGATTGGAAGTGGAGCAGCCAGGGCACGGACTGGCACACATGGGACACTGGCATCCCAGGCAGCAGCTTTACCTGCTACACCACATGTTGTTAGTAATGTCATTTGTACTAGGATGTCAAATCAATGATGAGAACAGGACCCTTTGGGTTAAATGTGTTGCTGTGTGGCTGACATTGACCTCCATAACCACAGAAGGTCACTGCTTGTCTACTGGGCCTTACCTGGGTGTGTTTGTTGTTCCCCTGCTAGGGAGATACAGCTCTGAGAGTGACGTGTGGAGCTTTGGCATCCTCCTCTGGGAGACATTCAGCTTAGGAGTCTGTCCTTACCCTGGAATGACAAACCAACAAGCACGAGAGCAAGTGGAAAGAGGTGAGCCACAGACCCGGGGCTGGCGTGCTGGTGACGTGGCCAGGACGGGGGCCTGCAGTACTGTTTGGGTGCCGAAGTGCAGAGCAGGGGTGTGAGATCCACTGCTCCTGAACCACAGGGATGCTGGGCCCCTGATCCACACCCCACACACATGTGCATTTGAAAGGAGTCCCACACTTTAACAAGAGACAGCTGGAGGCTTCGCTTGCGGCCCTCCCTGCCTCCCTGAACCCACAGAGTTGTGCCAACCAGGTCTTCAAAGAAGCAATTAGGGGGTCTTCCCCACTTCCCGCATTTCATTCTCTGCCAGATAATCCCCTTAGTAACACTGCAGATGGAGACGGTTCTGAGATTTTTGGTGACACTTCTTGAAGAAGCCAGGTCAGTGGTGGGGTAGCTAAGGATGGGGACACTGACAAACACCTGGGAGGTCCACAGCTGGCGGCCAAGAAGAAGCTGTGGCTAAGTGGCAGTGCCCTAGCACAGGCTCCACAGAGAGCAGGGGTGCAGGAAGGCGCCTTCCTACCCCTCTCCCTCCCTCCTCCACACACTGCCAGAACACTGCCACAGCTCAGACTGTGACAGAGTCTGACCCCCAGTCATTTCCCGTCGCCGTGAGCTGTGGTGTCTATGAACGCCTCATCCTGTCTTCACCCTCAAAACCAGATTGTATAGAGATGATTTTTCCAAAAACTCTGCCCACAGCATCTACTTCTAAAAGCAGATGCTTAGAGCAACTGAAATATGCATTTACCCATGACAGATGTGACACATATATGAACAAATGAACAGACCAAAGATTCCACCAAAAGTGCATAGCTCTGTGGTGTTGAGACATCGGTTTGTTCCCTCCATCATACACCCATAAACTTCCCGGTGTCCTGTGTGAACCCTGCATCTGACCACCATTCTCCATCCTCTGTTCTCCCCGTGGGCCTTCAGGATACCGGATGTCAGCCCCTCAGCACTGTCCGGAAGACATCTCTAAGATCATGATGAAGTGTTGGGATTATAAGCCTGAAAACCGCCCCAAGTTCAGTGAACTTCAGAAAGAGCTCACCATCATCAAGAGGAGACTCTCATAGGGACGGGCCGGCGCCGGTGTCCCAGTAACAACCAGCTGACACCTTGTTCCCTGCAGCCAGTCTTCTAAGGTGATTGGTTTTCTATTAACTGGGTTTCTAAAAACACGTTCCACTCTAAAAAAAAAAAAAAAAAGTCAGAAGCAAATCTGTTGAGGACACAGACCTCCCGCCAAGGGCTTTCTTAGCTAGCCACAGCCGTCCTGCCACTCGAAGCTTCTAAATAGAGCACGGGCGCCGGGGTGGGAAGGGCGTGAGGCTGCCTTTGCACACCCCAGGCCGCTGTCTTCTCCGGGCGCGGGGCGTGGGCCGCCGCGCTCCGCCATGGACCCTGCGCCCTTGGTGCTAAAAGTCGCGCGGGGCCCCGCCGCAGCGGGCTTTCCAGGCCGCCAAAGCAAGATTATCCCTGCACAGGGAATCTAACACCGGGAACTGGCTGGGCCTCCCGGGCCTGTCTTTGTTTTCCTGCCAGACACGGAAGCCCAGCGTGAGACTCCCCGTGCTCCTGCATTCTTCCCAAGGTTCTCTTCTCCCTCCTCACGTGGGCGCCAGAACCCGGAACCCAAGTTAGAGCTGCGGCAGCCGCTCTCCCGGGCGGGGTGGGGCGGCCCAGTGGGCGGGCGGCGCGCAGGGCAGGCAGCTCTGGGCGCTGGGTGATCCAGCAGAGGAGGGACAGAAGCCACAGTCTGCCTCCTCCTCAGAGCGACGCCTTTACAAACACACACGCGTCCAGCGAGCTTTGCAGTCTGCGGTCTGAATTCTCAAGAACAGGTTCTGTTCAGGAACTCTTAGACAAGAGTAACAAAAACGTATCTGGACACACTACACAGCCCAAACCCACAGAAACACCAGCAATACATCTGCTTGAGTACCTCCACCCCAGAGGAGGCAACCAGAATGTAATTCTCTTTCTTTGTACTGCTTTTGGGAGCTGTCAAAATTTCCTGATTCCAAACACGTGTGTGTGTGTGTGTGTGTGTGTGTCCATACAGATGTGCACAGTGCACACACACACTACCAGGGCAGGTGTGTATAAAGTGGATGGTTTGGAAGTCAAGTGAATAGTGAAAGGGAAAAGACCTATGCACAGCCCTCTTGTTCCCACTCTCTCCCCTTCCTTTGCCCCTGTTCTGCCCTCCGCCCCGGGATCCGTACTAGCTTACAGATGTGAGGACAGTGCTAAAGGAGTTCTATGTGGACAAAGTACCACACAGAGTTCAAACAAGGCTTCCGTGGAGCCGGATTCTAGCTGCCTCTGAGGAACTTAGCCTGTGGTGGTGTGCAGTTGCCTGTCAGGATGGAGACAGTCCCGCTCAGGAGCACACCCAGCCTGCGGTGCTGCCTTTTGTAAGTTCGCAGGCCTGCACCCCGATGATCACCTTCGTGATGACCTGGTGTCCGTGTGTTGGAAGAGCTTCCCTCCCCAGCTGTGTGCGACCCCTGAGTGTCATTGCACGGCCCTCACACCAGTGCTTCAGACCATAAAGGTGTTCTGAAGACAAAAATGACTGGTGTCTATCATTTCAGCCTCCTTGCAGAGTTTTTCCACCGTTAATGGCTAATCCATTTAGACCCCAATGAGATCCTAATCAAGTTTCCCTTAAAAACATGTTGTGATATACAAGGCTACTTCATTTGATTCAGCATGACTCCCCCTTCTTTCAAGTCTTGTGAGTAAATGGACCTTTCTCTTGATGCGCATACCATGGTAGATCCAAGCCGGGACTCCTGAATTAAGTGCTGTGGCCTTCAGGCACCTGCCAGCCTTCAGAAGTAAGAACAAGATGGGACGTCTGTACCCCTTTCAGTATTTCCAAGTGAAGCTCTGTTTGTAATATTCTTTGTTTAAAGAAAGCAGTCTTCCATCACTTAGCAGCCTCAGTGCCAAGCTCTCGGGAAAGAGAGAGAATGATGGTTTTGGCTTTAATTTTCTGAACAAGACCTGAAGCTTAATCCTTGCATTCTGGCATAAAGAATGAACATGGCATTGATATTTCACTCATCCAGGCTGTTGGAATTTGCAATTCACATCATAACTCTGTGCTTAAATTAAAAAGCTTTGCAAAACATCATGACATCTGCAGCATTTAAATTCTATTTTATGCTTTGTCCCAAAGCAGGCAGTGGTACAGTTCAAGATTAATAACTCATTGGGAGTCTTTCAAGATCTTATCAGTTGTATGGAATATTAAATTTGATATAGGCACATGCATTAAGAAAAGCTTCTGCAAACCATTTTTTACTGTTAATTTTGTTGTGCATGGAGCATAATTTATTCACCCCTTCTGTCACTGATAATTATTGGGATTATGTACTTTAGGAAGCTAATCCATACCCCGAAAGCACACACATACTGTTCTAAATTCCCAAGTTTATGTAGGGGAAGGAGCTTTCACAAATGCACGAAATCCTGAGGCTTGTGTAGTGAGACAACAGTCGTAACCACAGTTGTCACTGGTCTGGATGTGATTGAGTCCGGTCACCAACCTTAGTTAACAGATTATCCAAGAGTTGCACTACTGTCTAGTTCCTCTCATATTATCGTACATGTATTTATTGGGCAGGGTGGGGGGGACGGTCAACACAGGCAGTCCAGCTTTCACTTGCATTTTTTTCTACCTTGACTCACTAAGGAGACTTTCTTTGTAAGAAATATGTCGGTAGCACGTCATTTACCCTGTGTTCCCAACATGTGAAACTTAAAATGAATTAAATGAATTTCATGTTCCACATAGTCGAAGGTTTCTTCCCAAAGCCAAATAGTTATAAAGGGTTAACAAGTCTGGCTGAACATTTCTTTTTTTTTTTTTTTTTAAGAACTAATACAGCATTTTAATTTTACAAATTTTTGGAAGCGGGTCTCTGATTACTGTTTAAACTCCCAGGGTCAGTATGGGCACTGGTCCTCCCCACCCCCAGAGGGCACTGTTTCAGCCCCAAGACAAGGTTGCCCCAGGAGTGCAGTTGTGTGAGGTGCTATTCAGTGCACAGTTCCCACTTGTTTCCGTTTTTTAGGGTTATTTTGAAAAGAAAATAAAATGTTTTATCTTTGAGATACTTTTAATTTCCTTTACACCACAACATGGTCTTCTTGTCTATGTTATATTTTATATTCCCTTCACCGTGTGGGCTTTTAAAGTCTGATTAGTGCCACTGCCATCACTAAGGCTTCCCAATACTGGTGTCAGACTGTGGCAAGAAGAAGATGTTGTAGTTGTAAGGTGGGGGTCTTCAGGAAGACCACAGAAAATGGGATTGAATGATACCTTTATTGTGGTGGAAAACTCTGAAATCCTTGCACAGTTGTTTCAAATTGTGCATTTTTGCAAACTTTTTGAAGACTGCTTGTCTAAGCCACACACCCAGGCCCTTGCGGTGGGCTGAGCAGCGCTTAGAACACAGTGATGCATGCCAGCACTGTTCGGAGCTCTTTTAGTCGCACTGCTGTCTGGTTAGTTCCTGTGAGCACCAGGGGTTTGAAGACTGCGCCCGAACACTGCACTGCGTGCACTGCTTCGTGGCCAGGGTCCTCTGCTAGCTTCTGGAAAGGGGTTCTCACCCCACCCTGCCTGGGGCCGCAGCAGACTGGGGGTTCTGAGGCCTGGAAGGACTGGCTCTCCCACGGAGAGGCCAGCTTGCACAAAACACAGCCCTGCCCAAGAAAAAGAGCCCCGGGCGATTTGTTCTGTGGTAATACCTTCATTAAATGGAATCAAAGATTTTATGTGAAAGTGAATCCCTATTACGTTGCCATTATACTATTAAGTTAGCATGAAAGTTTACCATTAAAATAAAGTGTTACCTCTATTATTAATAACTGATTTCCTTAGTACCTGTCAAAATCGTTTGACTCAATATTTTAATTTTATTTATTTTTCTCCCTTTTGGTTAGTTTCCTGCCAAGTCTGAATACACTTTTAGTTGGGAGAACTCACAACTGAATATTTATTTCTGCAAAAGAAGATACTGCAGTTTAATAAGTCAGATTCCATGTACCAAGATTAGCTACTTGGAGGAGATAGTGCTATAGTCCTAGGATCCATGCATTTCTCCTCTAAAGCCTAATGCAAGTGTGCACACTTGGCACCTTGGCCACAACTCAACCTACGGAAACAGTAGCCCGTGACAACCACCCGGCTGCCCAGCTCCGAGTCCGAGATTACGTTCTGCCCTGTGCGTTAAGAATCACGTTGCTTCCTAAGAATGTCTGAGATAATTGGGCGGTGGAGAAATCCCATGAAGCGCACGGGAGGCAGGCAGGCTGAGAAGGGGCGGAGCCAGGCCCAAGGCAGCGGAGGGCAGGGCAGAGCCCGGCATTCTGGGGCTGGAGTTGGCAGCCCTGCGGGGAGTCTGGGAAAGCTGAAGCAGAACAGAGACTTGAACAGCGTCGCCACGAAACCTGAGGAAGACTATGCCGTGAGGCCAGAGCCTGTCCTGCAGGAAATTAAAATGCCATCAGGGCGAGAAGAGGCGAAAGGGTCCCTGGCGGCCTGCGGGCCCTCCCGGGAACAAACTGCCCTCCTCTCCCTGCAGTTCCCACCCCTGCTCAGTGGTGGCGCTGCGCGGCGCTCATGGGTTCGCTTAGTGGTGATCATGGGCTTCCAAGGCGATCACCCAAGTCTCTCTAGGTTTGCATTAGCGATAGTTCGTGTTTCTTAAACTAAGGTCAGCGGTTATTCAGATTTTACTGGAAACCTTTAGCTGTATCTGGGCTTAGCGGGAGCTACAGTCTCCTAAAGGAGCAACCTGACTTCCCTTTTCATTGAGGTGAGCCCAGGGCTGCCGGCTACCTCTAGAGAGGGGCTGCACGGAGCCCTGCTCAGCGTGACATCAGATCCAGCGGGGAGGCAGGAAGATCTCAGCTCGGGAGCAGGGTTCCTTGTTTGTCCTGTGACACTGGAGGGAGCGGAGTCTCAGTGACATCGCAAAGCCAACCAGTGCGCAGTGTGGCTGCGGCGAGAGAGAAAGGGACAGGAGAGAGGGAGGCAGGGGAGAGATGCCAAGCAGCAAGGACACCCCACTGCAGAATGTCGCCTTCCAGCTGACGCCCACGGCGTCGGTAAGGGAAGCCGTCCTCGAAGGAGCTTTGAGGGCTTTCCTGCCCCCCTTAGAGGTGTTACACACTTCTCAATGCCTGCAGCAGTTTCTTCAAGGGCACTGAGTGGATAGTAGCTTGGTTTTCTGTATACACCCTGTAATCTCCAGAGGCAGCCACCGTTGAATCCGAATCACCCTACCTTGCCTTGTCAGTGAGGCCGCAGACACGACGCTGGTTCACTCCGTTCCCCAAGCTTCCAGTGGGAAGCACGCCCAGAGCCAGGGCAGCCAGGATTGCAGAGAAGTTGCTGGCAAAGCTCCACTTTTCCATTTTATTAGAGAAAACCTACCTTGCAGCCGTCTGTAGTTGTGACAGGAAGACAAATATAGTTTCCCTCCTTGCCAACAAACTTGAAGAACCTCAGCACTAGGCTGTTTGGGATCCACGCCAAAGCCTTGACTTCATAAACTAGTTCCCAGCCATCCCCATTGAGGCCGGCAAGGTGCAGGTGTAGTAGCAAGTGTGACAGCAGTTCCAGCGGCAGAACTTCACGCTCCCCCTCGCTCTCAGGCGTTGCGGAAGCTTCTCGTGAGCGTCTGAGACATCCTACCAGTGAGCACTGGTAGCTGCTGGTTTCTGGTCTTTGTTTTTGACTTCTGACTAGTGTTTTTCTTTTCTCATCTTCAGTCTTTCACTTTGCCAAAGCAGAAAAGCCTTTATCACTGGTTTATGTCTGGCAATGCCATGATTGGCCTCCACCAGAGTTTCTCATGGGGTGCTCGGGGGCCCCCGCCTTAGACGGACCTCCCAGGCCCTGACACACCTAGAATGGGAGAGGCCCGGTGGTGGTGGGCGCCGCATAGAATACTAAGACTTCTGGCTCTAGTCCTGGCTGTAGACAGGGTGAGCTGGTGGCAGGTGTGCTGTGAGTGGCACTAGCAGCAGAGGCTCTTGGGAGATACTCTTGGAACAACAAGGTCAGCAGCCTGTGGACCTGCCCAACTCACAGATCAGGTGAGCGCCCCTCAGAGAGCCAGCCACCACTAACAATAGTCATTTGTCCTTCACCCCCGCACACAGTTCCTCCTCCCCACCGTGCGATGCCAACGCTTCTGTTGTATCCGTCACACTCCTCTTACCACCACGTCTGAAGCTATTTCAGTTATGCAATGTTAAGGGGTTTTCCATAATTTCAGGAAAGAGGGGAGCAAATAGGAAGCCTTAAGTTCAAAACAAGCCAGCCTACCTAGAGGCACCGACCGCAAGCACCTCTGTATGAAAACATCAGTGCTTCCCTGACGGTCGACCAGAGCAGTGCCCTTTCTAAAAAGCCACGCATCGCACCTGGTGTTCTACTTACGGGCAGTGTCCTCGGGATCGGAACAAAGCACATTCCAAATGCCGTAGCAAGAAGCCAGATTTTGAATGATAGCCATGAAAGCAAACCACAGGAACACCACTCTACCCTTTGTTGTCAGTTTAAAACCCCCTTCCGGTTCATCAGGTCACACATCACACCTGGATCAGCGGGCACTGTCAGTGTCCTGAACACACAAGATAAATGTAAGATGACCTGGAAAAGAAACCTCAGTCCCCCCATTGGAGCAGCAAAAACCCGAATATGAAAAGCAATTGCATATGAGCCCAGACTCCCATTGTTAATCTCTCCTTCATGGAGCTCTCGTCAAATAGTGCAGCCTTGGGGTCTTCTTTCGAATTGCCAGAACAATCTTTATAAAGCAGAAAACTAAACTCCCTCCCCTAGTGGGCCTCCGTTCTCTCAGAGCCCTGTGTTCAAAACCCGAGGAGCTGGACACGCGTCTGGAACCCGTTGTTAATGAGCCCCTCCTTTAAAGCGCCATCCGGCAGTCTGCCAGCTCACCAGTGCATGCTTTTGCGTATTTTTAAGCCCAGCCAGGAAACAAAACAACAAAAAAGAACCACCCCCTTACACAGGAATTCTCTGACAAATAATTTGACTTGCTAGACACACATGCGCCTGTGTGCTCTGCGGTGCGCCGGGCTGCCGTGGACAAGTGCCGAGGGCCGTGCACGGTCTGACTGCTTTCTCCTCCCACCAAGGACAGCAGTTCTTGGATTTAGACGGTGGGACGCTGTGGACGCCCACCGCCTGCCAGCTTGAATTGTGTGCTTCAGCTGCGATCAGAGGACCCATTCCAACAGAAGCACACTCGCGTGTCCCGCTACCTCCTTAGATTGCAGGCCCTCCACTGTGTTTTTTTGGCTTCGGTGCCAAAGAGGTTGTTTTACAAGGTTCACCTGATCTCCTGTAACAAGGATACCTTCTAAGTGTTGATTCTAAAGCCAGCCCCACGTGTAGATCCAGTTATGAAAGCAAAACCAAACGGAAAAGGAAACTGGTAGGGAGGGAGCTCATGTCCTCCAAATCCATGACCAAAGTACCCACAGGCAGGAGACTCCCTTCCCCATGCTGAGCCCCGCCCCTCGCTCCACAGGACAGCACCTCCTCCTGCCCTGCGACCCAGGCAGACTCCCGGGCCAGGCGCATTCTTTCCACGGGCCACTGCTCCTCACCCTTCAGGGACCCCTGAGGTCTCGCCCTGAAGCAGCCTCCTTGGCTGCTTGCGCGTAAACACATTCACTTAGCAGGCTGATGGGCAGCTCGGTACAGTGTGGGTCGGTGGTGGTGTCACACCCTGTGTGTGTCTGTGTTTTCTTGGTTCAATCCGGCTTCTCCAGGTGACCGCCCTAAGAAGTCAGAACCCACTGAAGTTAGAGTCAGCACTACTACATAGGTGAAGGAAAGGCAGATAACATCAGGTTGTCAGAGTCCCAGGAATAGCACTGACTTTCTCAGGAACCCAAGCAAATTGAAAGCAAGGACAAAACACACATACGCACGGTGCCCACGGCCACCTGACCATTTTCCTGGCACAGCCGCGCAGCGAGTGGGCTGTGCAGATGGAATTCTTTGAGTTGTTTGCTCTCCCTTTAACAGAAGCTGAGGCCAGGGTGAGGGCTGGGAATGGGGCCTGCCCTCAGCCCCCTGTGCGGTGCTGCCTGCTGCATTCTGTGCAAAGCCATCCTGTGGTTTACAAAGGTTTCTTTCAGTGCCAACGTATGGTCAGTTTCATGTCAGGTTAAAGCACCTTCGATCTTTTGCTGTTGTTTTAAAATAATATATTTGTGAAGTGGGTAAAAGAAACACTGGAAATTGGGTGCGTCTTCTGACACGTGCACGTGTAAAATGTACAAACCAGGCCTTGGGGAGGGGGGTTATCTGGCTTTGTAAACGCGTTTTTGAAAAATGAATGAGCGCTAAATAGATAAAGCAGTTAGCCTGTTACCATTTTTTCATGCAATCTGTATTTAACACTTATTTATTTATGTCAGTTTTTACATTCAGAAGAAATTCGCTCTGGACTTTGGCTAACACTATAGGGTGTTTGTTTTCTATCTTTTTTAAAGACATGGTGTCATCATTTTTGTAAACTTGGACCATTTTGGAATAGCCTCCTCTTCTCCACCAGACCAGTTACCACTCGTGGGTCTGCAGAACCTCTTTTTACTGTATTCTTATAATAAATGTCCAATATTTGTAGCAAACCGTGCCTGGTCTTGTTTCATCTTTTCATCGTGTTTGTATTTCTTTTCCTTTTCCATATAAATCTGGACGGAGGAAAGGGGAGGCGGGATTTCCGTGGGAACGCCTCCTCGGATGCAGCGGGCCCAAAATGATGTCCTGGGCCTCTGTAATTCAGCTGCTGGGCTCCGGGCGGGCGGCGCTGCCAGTCCAGTCACCACTTCTTCTGTTGAGAAAATCAAAACCAAAATGTAGTTCACCTCCCAGTGCCCTGAGTGGATGGGCTGTTTGCCAGGTTGTGTGTGTGTGTGTGTGTGTGTGTGTTGTGGGGTTTTCTGGGGGGTTTTGGTTTCCACAGCAGAATCTGTTTAGACACAACACAAAGATCTAGGGGAGAACGGTGGCTGGGAGGGATATTTGGGGAGGGCAGGTGAACCTACTAGGACACCACCATGGAGGTGTGTGCCCCCCAGCCCCCAGGCCTTGTGCACCGCTGAGCTGTTCACGGCGCCAAACCCGAGACTCCCATGTGCTCGTCAGCCTTCCTCAGGCCTGATCTTGGACCTGAACAGTCAACGCCCTGGCTCCCTGAACAGCAGCGCTCTCTGGGCAGCCGCAGCCTCTTCTCCAGCGGGTTTGGTTTCTGGCCCGGCCTCCCTCCCAGACAACCTGTGCTTTTATTGACGTTGGTTAGTGAGCACCAGGTGCCACCGTCACCCAGGAAGGGTGGCTCTCGGCCTGGAACCACACTGCCCGGGAGGAAAGGATGGCGCCCCCCAAACGCGTGGGGGAGACCGCGCGTCACCACACAGCCTGCTCCGGCCAGGGTCTCTCCAGGCAGAGCGTGGCGGTGGTGCCGGCAGACAGCCTGGATGTGAGTAGTTTCCACCCAGAGCATTAAGTGGCCGCCCCTGTGAATTCTGAGTCCAAACAAAGGCCTTTCCTGACACCCCAGGTCTGGTGTGCGTGGACTGCCGTCATGAGGCCAATGGCACCGGGCTCTAGGGCATCTGGTGGTGAAATGAGCACCCAACTGGGCGCTGGGAGACCCAGGTTCTCACCCCAAGTTGGACTCCCTGAGTTTGTAAATCTGAAAGAGCTGTGCCACTGTGTAGCCATTATTGCTTTGCCTCTCGAATAAGGGTGCACACGTAGCAAGCTGTGGGCTTTTTCCTCTACCCCTTTCTCGTGGGGCTGTGGCCACTCTGCTTTCCCAAAAGCAGCCAGATTCCTCCAGGGCAGCTTCCTCTTCACACTGGGTGGTCCCCGAGGCAAGGCCATTCCAAGAGCCCCCCACCCCCTCTAGAAGCCAAAGGAGCCCCGCGGCCAGGCAGGGCCCTGGTGGCTGTCAGAGGAGACCCATCGCTGTGGATCCCAGCTCCCCAGAGTACCCCGGCTTCCGTTCCATCCCCAAGCCTCCATCACCCCTCCTCGCAGGGTGGATGGGGAGAGGCTGAATCCCAGCCCCATGCAGAATGCGATCGGTTCCTTTGCTTTGCACCACATGGCTGTTAGAATTCAAGAGTGCCGAGAAGACAGATAGCTCCCAGAGGCCCCATCAGCTGAAGTGCCTAGCAGTGATTCCCCAGCTGTGGATCTTGGGCCATGCAAAATTGTAAACGTTCCTCTTGCCACCTCCCTGTGGTGAGGGGCGGCATCGTGGGATAGTTACGTGACAAGGTCAACGCACTTGCCATTGTGGAGCCTAATTGATCAGGCACGGCAGCAGAAATGCAAGGAATTAATAGAAATATCGCAGGAAGCTGCGGTATTGAGGGACTCAGAAGCTACTCTTGGGGCCTCCGCCATGCTGGCTGGCGACAGAGCCTACTCCTGGCCTGCATTCAGGAGTGCCTTTCTGTGCCAGCAGACAAACCAACTCCCAGGTGTTCCCCTGTAGACCTGGGAGAAGACCACCAAATAATTTCAGCCCGTTGGGTTTTCGGCCCAAGGCTGTTTGCCAAGCAGTCTCTGGGGGTTCCACTTGGCCTGCACCCCCCGTCCTCCCCTGTGGTCGTGACACAGCACTGTAGCAGAGCAGGTCACTGAGGCACAGTCGGAGGACACATGCGCCCTTTCATAGGGGTTGCCCGCTGGTGTCTCCCTGCTGGCTTTGCAGTCACACAATGAAGATGCCGTCATCGCCGGCCGAACACCCCCAGGACACCAGGCCGGGACTGCGCATTGTCTTCCAGGAAATGTCAGTCAGAGATGGGAGTGTCTTATGTGTTATGATCAACCAAGCCGGGGGAGAGGCAGCCATGCCCTGGCCAAGTGAACACCAGTATTGGCTCTTGATCACTATAATGAAATACCTGAAGCCAGCTACTTGAGAAGGAAAGAGGCTTATTTTGGCTCACAGTCCTGCAGGTTCACCGTGCAAGGCCGGGCAACTCCATTGCTCAACTGTCTGGCGAGGCCAGGGGATGGCAATGGCAGAGCAGGCCCAGGACAAGCCAGGAAGGAGAGAAGACAGTTGCACCCAACTTGGCTGTCATAGCCAACCCTCTCAGGGGAACCACCTCCCAAGGACCTGCCTCTGGAGCTAGACCCCACCGCTGGATGAAGTGTGCATTGTCTCAGTACCATGAACTTAAGGCTTTGGGGTTTAAATGTCTGCAACATTTGGAAGCCAAAACTTGTTCAAACCTTAGCAACCTTGAACAGTTTTGATTTCTGATCCCTGCATGGAACTCAATGCAGCCTCTCCCCTACGTAGCTCGGATGCACAGAAAACTTAGCGAGGGGAGACCCCCAGATTCATCCCACCATCCTTCCTCATGCAAACCCTCCCTCATGGTCGGAAGTGAAGGTCTTTATCAGCTTGCCCCACAGACCCTTACCTCACAGCAGATGTCCCTGGACATAAGCACTGCTCTATTTCAAATGTGCATTCCTCAGCTGCTGTTTTGGCAACACCAGAGGTCACTTACAAGATTAAGCATAAGGCGAAAAATAAAAATTAGAAATAATATTGCATTATAAATGGGAGAAAGAAAAAGGAAACAAAATATCTGAACTTTCTTCATTAATGAAATCAAACAGTTGGGGCCGGCGCTGTGACACAGCGGGTTAACACCCTGGTCTGCAGTGCCGGCATCCCATATGGGCACTGGTTCAAAACCCAGCTGCTCCACTTCCGATCCAGCTCTCTGCTATGGCCTGGGAAAACAGTAGAAGATGGCCAAGTGCTTGGGCCCCTGCACCCACGTGGGAGACCAGGAAGAAGCTCCTAGCTCCCAGCTACGGATCAGAGCAGCTGCAGCCGTTGCAGCCAACTGGGGAGTGAACCATCAGATGGAAGATCTCTCTCTCTCTCTCTGCCTCTCCTCTCTCTGTGTGACTCTGTCTTTCAAATAAATAAATAAATCTTTAAAAAAAAAAAAGATTTACAAAAATGAAATCAGACAGTAAATCTCACTGATTTCTTGACAACTAAAATCAAACCAAAGGTGTAGTTTTATTAGAAAAATGAAAAGTACTAAGAATTTAAAAACTTAGCATTCAGTTTAAAAGGTTAGAAAAAACTGGGGGATGGCGTTGTGGCATAGAAGGCAAAGCTGCCACCTGTGACACCAGCATCGCATATGGACACCACTTTGTGTCCTGGCTGCTCCACTTCTGATCCAGCTTCCTGCAAATTGCCTGGGAAAGCGGAGGAAGATGGCCCAGGTGCTTGGGCCCCTGCACCCACGTGGGAGACCCAGGTGGAGTTCCAGGCTCGTGGCTTTGGCCAGGCACAGCCCCAGCCATCATGGCTATTTGGGGAATGAACCAGTGAATGGAAGATTGATATTCTCTCTCTCTCTCTCTCTCTCTCTCTCATTCTCCCTCTTTCTGTAACTCTTCCTTTCAAATAAATAACTTAAAAAATGAAAAAATGAGAAAGAAAAGAAAAAAAGGGATTCTAGAATTCATGTTCTCTAAAATTGAACAAAACATGCATGGCAGTGGTGTCCACTGGGAGTTGATTTATCCCCCGGGGACGTTTGGCAACGTCTAGACTTTGTTGGCTGCCAGACTGAGGAGAGCTAGTGACTGGCATCTGGTGGGTGGCGGCCAGGGACGCCACTCAACCTGCGGCAGGGCTGGCCCCACATGCCAGCGGTGCCAGGTTAAGGAAGCCTGCACCATGGCCCCTGTCTGAATTTCTGTCCAAGGGAAGAAGACTTGGGGCAAATTTCAAGGGAACAATGGAAGGCAAAACTAAAAATGCTTTTCTATTTTCCAAGAGGTGCTCAACATACAGTTTACAGAGACGCAGTCTTGATAATCAGCAAAATCAAGAGCTGTTTCTTTAAAACCATTCTGTGATGAGATTTACCAAGGGGGGGAAAGAATAAAGCATGTTAGGAATGAAACATTAGATATTAATAACTAAGGAAACAATAATAATTGAAAAGGTGATAAGAGAATACTATGAACGTCATACTGAAAAACTTTCGTACTGAGAGATGCCTAGAAAAGATACGACTTACCAAAGCAAACTCAAGGAAGAAAGACATTCAGAGCACGCTGTGCCCGTGGAAGAACTGAATACAGTCATTTTCAATCTCCCCAGAGAATGGGGTTTTCATGCAGAGAGTTAGATGCAAAGATTCACAGCCACTTTTTATCACAATAACCAAAAACTGGAGACTATCCGAACATTCTTCAATAGGTGAATCATGAAGTAAACCGTGAGATATTAGCTAGCAATAAAAAGGAGCTTGACACATCAACTTGGATGAACCTCAAAAACAAAATTGTGCTGGGTGAAAAAAGCCCATCTCAAAAGGAGTCAGACTGCAGGGTTAAGTTTCTGTGTAATTCAGGAACTGACGCCAATGCGATGGGGAACAGTTAGTGATTGCCAGGAGCCAGGGCTGGGCAGAGGGCCGGGCGTGGGCACAAGAGAACAGAGTCGTGTGGTGAAGGTCTCTCAGAATCGTAACTACAGTGGTAATATGCAAGGCTACACACGATAAAAATCACGTGGGGTCGCACACATACATACACTCATGGAATCTGGCTAAGCTCTGCG